TTAGAAGACATGAAGATATAGTGCAACGTATTTACGGGCCAGGTTAACAAGCAGGTTGTTGACGTATATGACAATTTAAAAATAATGAACATGACCAGAAAGATCATTTTAAAGCTAAGACTGCTTGTGAAACTTCAGGCAGGAATATGACGCGCTATAAACATTCCATAAGAAGTTACTGTATTTAGCCTAGGGACACTTACAAATATATGGCAAAAGCAACTCGAAAACATATACATGTTAAGTACAAAAAATCATTGAGTAAAGTAGTTGAACTCGCCTGGGTTATTTTTGAAAATTAGATTATTCAGTGGACGACATATAAAACGCCATTCGTGAGGAGTAGTGATGATCCAAAAGTATCCAGACCAAGACATGCAGTATGGCAATTAATTCCAGGGTGCTTGATGCTGTTGACGTTTTTGCCACTCGCTCGGATCAGAACAGTTGAATGAATCCAGATAATTGTGTGGTTGTCATTGACAAACCATCCAAAATGACCTCATGATTGCAGAAAACTTATAGCTGAAACTAACAGTATGTTTTTGTAGTGGTGTCATCCTCGTTGTCTGGCAACGGAACTCGAAAATATGAAATTAGGCAGGCAGTGGTCGGAAGAGAAGATATTACAGGATAGTGCATAGTTTAAAACACTAAGAATTAGATCCAGATAACTATTTAGTCCTTGATTGCATTGTTAGTCAATGTATATTTACGTTATTTACAGGTCATGTTTGCTAGAGCTTGATGTTTAAACAAGTCTATGTCGCTGAAGCATGTAAATACTATTAAAGCTTGTTAACGAACCATCTAAGCTAATTAGTTATTATTGACGACCAGTTTTTACTATCAATTGAGCAAGTATGTTAATGAGAACTAATCAATATAACATTACGATAATACATGTGAGCATTAATCAGAGGACTATTAGAATAATGGGTTTACATAAATAAAAATCGATTGAGAAAGTTAAGGTAGATCTAAGAAATAGCAATAAATAGTTGCGCTTATTTAGTTGGGCTCACCAATGTAGAATTATGATCTGCTATAATATTAGTACTGCTCTAATAATAGACCTAATCCTAAAATTGTAGATTTGTCATGTTATAACTGCCTAATCTATAATATCTTACGCGCGCTATTTATGAAGGTCAGTGGTATTTTTCCCCGCTGAGTAAATTTCATTGTTTTGATCGTTTATTACGTATCAAGACTACTGTTTTCACTTTAGTTGAATTCGTTTCAGATAAAGTATTCGACTGCAGTACCGTTTCACCGTTCTCTTAATGGGTTTTGTAGTTGGTACTCTTGAGTACCTCTTTTTCAACTGTATCTTTTAGTACTTTTGGTCCTAATAATCTACAGTTCTTCACTTTTTGGTCATTTATTATTTTTTGTTTCTGAGTATCATCACATCTCGTTCCTTTTTGAAAAGGACTCCATTTTAATGACCGGACAGTGTAAAAATGCAATTGTCAACGTTCGGGATTGTCGCTATCCCCTTGAAAGCGGCATGCAGTGCGACTAGTGCAAAAGCTGTTACCACGAAGTTTGCACGAACTTAACGCCTGCGGCTTTGAAACAGTTCAGTAAGAAGGGTTGCGCATGGCTTTGTCAACAGTGCTGTTCAGATGCAAACAGCCTGTTAACCGAGGCCATCTCACTGGTTGATGCTGCAAAGATGTGTTTTTTTGCGAGCGTAGTCGGAACACGTCAAACAGCACTCGATCTGTCGACACACAAATCGACATAAAGCAAACTAAGGTTGGTTCGCTAGTAGATGACTCACGCCGGTCAAAGAAGGAAAAGCAGTCTCCAAAGGGGCCTGCCTTAAACAAAAGCTCAAGGAAAGTGGGTTCTTCTGTTCCCCGTCTCCCAGATGGGATCCCACAGGAAACGCCTAGAAGCCGCAATCGCAAGGCTCGATCGGTTTCAAGCGGTAAACATAACCTGACCTCTCAGGTCGTCGACAATCCTCCAGAATCCAACACTAGGTTTGACGCAACGGTTGTTGCTTCCCCCAGCACCGTTGACGAGTGGGTACAGGTTGTAAGGAAGAAAAAATGTAGCCATATAAAAGGTAATCTTACCCCCGTGAAAGTAGTCGTAAAATCGAAAGCTGATCATAGCGACAGATCAGCTATTTTTTTATAGAATCAAGGAGAGCGACAGCTCTGAACCTAAAGCTCGTTTTGAGCATGACATTGTGCTGATTAAACAGCTGCTTAATCAACTCATGCCTCAAAATATCACCGGGGTCACCTTGCTAAAGGTGTACAGACTAGGGAGTCTAGCGGACTTGAAACCTAATCATTCCAGACTGCTTAAAGTATTATTCAACTCTTCGAACGAACGTGACCTAATTTTACAGAATGGACACAAATTAAAGGCTTCAGGAGTCTTTATACGAAAGGACTTACCGTTGGCAGACCGTGTAAAAAGACGGTAAGCCGAAAAAGAACTACAACTAAGTTATGAGTAACTATCATTTACGGCATCAGCACGTAAGCTAGACAGGCCTTGGATGACTTTCGAAGAACATCACATACGATCTCACACAATCTGGTTACCCGAGACCAAGATATCTTGATTATCGAATCGTACTTTTCAGTGCTTTCTCGTAACAGATTTATATTAGTACTTATTTCTGCTATTGGGTATTTTTGCAAGAATACCGGCAGCCAAATCATTGTAACGCTACACAAGAGGTAGTAAAGCTATCTTAGCTTGGTCTCTGTTAAAATCTTCACATAATTATACCTCTTCCTCATGATTATGATTTATTTTCTGCAATATAATAATTTGGTGGCTAATATATCTAACTGTAGAAGATGATATTAACATATTGGTATGTGTTATTATCATCTATAGCATATACATAATATTTACAACACTCACGACACCTAATGTTTTCACTATCAAACTATTTCTGCCATGAAAGTCGAACAGAACAGTGAAAATCAGCAAAAATTGTGATAAAGACGGGAAAAAAGATAAATCTTGCCATTGTATCGTTACTTGTAACGCAGTTTTGGTAGCCTTGACGACAATACAATATATTCAGTGATTTGGTTTTATTCACATTAATAACTGTCGGGCTCGTTATATTCTTGTTCTGTCTAGATATTAGGCGGTCCATAATAAAGTGCCTCATTGGTGGGCGGGAGTTCAAGGAAATGTTGAAGGTCTTTAACAATGAGAGTAATACCACCTGATACTGATATTGTTAACAATGCACCTTTAGTGGGAACCGAAGAACTGGATAAAACCATCACCGTTCCAAATAGTCCGAATGTCCTGAGGAATGAAAAATGGACTACGGTACGTAGGAAAAGAAACAAAAGGAAAAAAGTTGTAGGCAGTACACAGGTAGTTGGTAATTCACTGATGGAGTCTCATTGTGAGTCACAAACTGTACTACCAAGTAAAGCTTCGTCTAACACTGTTGTGAGTCACTCACAGGACTCTGTTACAATAAAGCTAATCGTAAGATATCAGCAGTTAATATACAGGATCTATCGTCACGGTCGAAAGCTGTTAACACAGTTTCAGAGGAAGCTAAACACCTTCCTAGTTTAATTATTTGGAATCTAGAGGAGTCGGAAGACAACGACCCTGCTAGAAGACATGCACATGACCTGCAGTTAGTGGAGTCTGTGGTAAGAAATGTACTACCTGAAGAGGTTCCAGGGGTACATATTACAAAAGTAACACGACTTGGTAAATGGGTTGGAGGCGGGACCCAACCAAGAAGAATCCTGAAGCTGGTTCTCGGGAGTTTCGAAGAAAGAGACATATTATTGAAAAACGCACCAGAAACTCGTGACTCAAATATCCGTATTCGACCAGATTGGCCGCTTGAGGATCGAATCAAGTGGAAGAATGCTCTTATGGAGTCGAGGAATTGCAAGTTAAATGGCGAAAATAACCTTACCATTAAGGGTTTTCGGGTAGTCAGGTCTTGGAAGCCAATGCTTCCGAGGCCTGTATGGGTAGAACGATTGATTGCCAAAACACCTTAAGTGTGTGCTACACGAACGCTCGTAGTCTTAGAAATAAAACGTCCGAGCTAAGTCTGATGGTGGAAGAATTATGTCCCGATATAATCGTTGTTACAGAAACTTGGTTCACAGTAGATATAGACCGTTCTCTGTTCATTGCAGGCTATATCTGTATTAGAAGTGATAGTTTCAAGTCGCAAAGGGGGAGGTATAATATTATACGTTAGGGATAACTTTCGTATACAATCAACCATATCGGAGGCTCATATCAGTGGCACATGTGAGGTTGCATGTTGTAAGATTAAATCTAGAAGTGGGTTAGTGACTATAGGGGGGATACACCGTAGTCCGTTTTCTCTTGCTGACGACTTTATCCTAAGACACATCTGTTCTTGGAGTATGGCAGAATGTTGTCTCATCATTGGGGACTTCAACGCACCGCATATCAGCTGGATAGAGCTTACAGCTCCAGGTAGTGGTTTCGATAGCGACCTTTTATCTACCGTTATTCAGTGTGCACTTGTACAATGTATCACGAAACCGACACATTGATTTCAATCATGATCCGTCACTGCTGGACCTCGCCGTCACCCACCACTGTGAGGATGTCTTTGATATTCAGCACCTTCCCCACTAGTGAACAGTGATCACGTTGTAATTCACTTTAAGTTTAGGACACATGGTATACAATTCGTATCTGCTCCACCCCGTCCCAATATCTGGCGAGCCAATATTCTGGCGATCAGAAACTGTGCTATCTCGACTGATTGGTCGGTCGACGCGAATCGATTGATCGAAGATGAATGGAATAAGTTTAAGGCTACGTTCGAGTCCGTAACGTCGCCGTATATCCCATGATCAGCACGTAAGCTATCAAAGTGCCCTCCATGGATTAATAAGGAAACCCGGAAGCTGTTAAAGCGTAGGAAACATTTCTGGGACTTATTCTTGTTGACAGGTCATGAACCATTTAAGCGTGAGTACCGAAAATTCCGTAATATCTGTAAGAAAACCATAGCCAAATCTCGTACCACTTACGAACGACAGTTAGTATATGACAGTCGTACTTGTCCGAAACGATTGTTTTCGTATGTTAAACGGCGGACGAAACGTAGTGATGGTATTCCCCCGTTACTGTTACACGAAAATCCAGAATTACTAGCTGAATCAGATCGAGCAAAAGCTGAGACTTTTTCAAACTATTTTAGCGAAGTCTTCTCCACGTTTATTTTAACAAATACTTGTCCCACTCACACCGAGATACCAACCATGGAATTTGTACAGGTGACTGAGGAAACTGTCCTTCCGTTGATAACTAAACTCAAACCTGGTAAGACACCGGGCCCTACGGGTACATCCACGGTTGCTGTCATCTCTCGAGGACATTATTTCCAAACTGCTCGCGAAACTCTTCAACATGTCCCTTTCACTCGCCCAACTCCCTAGAGATTGGAAGGACGCTATAGTCAGTCCTATATTCAAGGACGGTCAGAGACATATAGTATCTAACTACCGGCCTGTTAGTCTAACTAGTATAGTCGTTAAGTTACTTGAAAAGATAATTCGGGTTAGGTTGCTAAGCCACATAGATTTACACAATCTGTTGGCTCCTGAGCAACACGGATTTCGTAACAAGCGTTCATGCTTGACTAACTTGCTTATTGCCAGGGAGGATTGGACAGCAGCCCTTGATAACGGTCTGTCTGTTGACGTGATATTCATAGATTTTAGCAAAGCGTTTGACAAGGTTTCACACGTAGGTCTTATGCAGAAGCTCACGAGCTTCGGAATAATAGGTACTGTACATGCGTGGATAGGAAATTTCTTATGTGACCGCAGACAGAGAGTGAGGGTTAACGGAACAGTATCCGATTGGAAGCCGGTCAAAAGTGGTGTACCTCAAGGCACCATCTTAGACCCCCTGCTCTTCCTTCTCTACGTTAATGAGTTACCGCTGTTACTTAGGTCGTCGACATTATTGTTTGCGGATGATGTAAAAATCTGGAGAACAATAAAAAGTGCGGCTGATCATCTGGATACCAGGTAAATGAACGGTATATTTAGTTAAAGCACCGTTCGGATCTTTATAGATAATCATATGTGCCATTACTCGCTTTTGTTTTTTACTGTATAGATATATTGACCTAGTGAATCACTACAATGCATTGTCTTATGATTCTCCAGTATTTGCCAATCTAGTTTTTTGGCGTTGTCAACAGTTATGTCATGTGAAATATAGACGTGCACTATGGGGTGAACATCAACAAGTTTTAAATTCACTTCGTATTGTTTTAAATCAGGCTAGTTGTTAAGTCTGTTTTCTATTTGCTTTTTGTTTTGTTTTACCTCTGATCTCTATTTCTTCATTATTTGAATATGTCATGCTTATCTCAATTTAATTGTATGTTATTATTGGGTGTGTTGACATGAACTTGTAATGTGACATATATTCTAATAGTTCTATTCAGGTTTTGTACATTCATTGAATTTCTGTTTAGATGTGACGGTTTTTCGAATTGTTATATTCTCCTAGTTTTCCTTTCAATTGTTGGCAGTTATTGTGGACTTAGCTTTTATTTAGGTTATCTTATGTTGGTAAATAATCTAAGAGATATTCTTCTTTTAATCATATAGATAGGCGCTTTCAACGCTACAGAACATTTTACACGAAATGAAGTTTGTTCATATTTAGCCTATATTTTATAATAATAGTAAAAATAGACTGATGAATTACAGTTGTAAACATAATGGGACGATTTAGAGAGCAACTAACATAAAGGAATTAGATTTCTCCCCATTGCAAAAGTCAGTTGGCTATCTGAACTGATTAGCTAAGTAGACAACGTGATGGTGTTTGAAGCGAATGGTTCTAATCTCGGGGTGAACATTAACTGTGGGATGCAGGTAAATCTAGTTGGTGAGTCCCGAATAGGACGTAACACGCTTTCTGGATTTCACTCCTGGTTACTATCCATCCCTGTTTAAAAATGCTTATGAATTGCTGACATTATCAAAGCAATCCTCACAGAGTGGACACTTATCAACTGTAGTTGTAAACATCAAAAAGTGACCAACGATATTATCCGCTTGTTCAATGCAATGCAGGCAAAATGAGCCTTAGTTTTAAGACTGACTAACTTTCCGGAAGTTGGACGCCTTAACTACTATGTCACTTTCATACTCATAGTTCATCCTAAAGAGAGCAAGAACAAAGATTCCTTGTTTTGAAATTTATTCTGCCATGGATATCACTAAATCTTTATTTCCGAATTTTTATTATTTCTATTCATAATTCGTATAAATATAGCTTGTTATACCATTGTCAAGCTTCCTTGAACCAGTTGAATCGAACTCATCCGTGATTCGTGTTTATGCGGCTGCAAAGGAATTAAAATAATGTAGCAGCTACCATTCTAAGAAAGATTAAACAATCCGGATATTATTCGAAAATACAGGTGCACAATCTTTACTTTATAGCGCACGATGAAAAAAGGAATGAATCTGTGCCACAGTCAGTCAGTCAATCAGTCACAACGTAGAACTTCGTACGTACGTACATCAGTTCGAGTTGCCACACCACATTAGCACAGAGATGCAGTTGTCAATTCAAATCCCGTAGTGCTAAAGTTAGTCAAAGTACAAGCAGTAATCGGAAACATTAGGCTTTGAAGATGTTATTCAAGAAGTATAATACAGTGAGATAAATTTGGAAAGAGAAAGAAAGTAACATGAAGAATTCAGAAGATTAGAATTTGGGAGAACATAAAGAGTGGATGCACCTGTGCCATTGCAAACGATTTTGAGCCATGTCATTTAGGGTCTCTAGCCATCGGTTGCTAAAATCTCGCGGTCCCCAATCAGGTAGTCTACACCCACCAATATGAGACTGTTCCACTGTGACTCATTATAACACATGTCACCACTCAACGTTTAACTTGATAATGTAATTACTGTAAAGGATTGAATTTTATCAAAAGAGAGTTACATAAATAAGTGATAATAACCTAACTCAGTTTTATTATTCTTTTATTCTTTAACTATCTGATTTCTTCATTCCAGCTATTTATACAATAAAGATAATCGGGATAGTGAATTTACTCAACAATTTGTACGTTTATGTCAATTATTACCTCAAATGACAAATGTCAAACCAACATCATCATCGTCGTCGTCGTTGTCGTCGTCTATGCAAGCAATCGTTAATAAGACTGATATTCTAAATTTACTATGATTTCTTAAACAAACTAATAAACAATGGTTACAACAAACGAAATCCATCGAATTGAATACAAATTTACATGTTGGTCTACATGATTCATTAGTTCATTTAATTCATAATAATGATGATAATAATGATTATGCCGACATAACTAGTGCAACAACATTTAATGAAGCTATTTTCAAAGCATCTATTGAATGGTACAATAGTGATACAATACCTAAGCATCGTCAACTTTATTGGATTGAATTATTTGAAAGAGTATGAGGAAGGCAGTAAAGGAGAATCAATTTAATGGAGAAAATAAAGTTTAACTAAAATCATACATCTAAAGATACTACTTATTTACTTATTATCAAATGGACATACTATGATATTTACAAACATGTAAATAACATTTAATGCTGTATTCTATTTATCATAGTTCTTGTTTCTATAAAAAGATTATGAAAAGATTCATTTCACTAGCTAAGCGTACAATTACAATTGTGTTCAAACAATGAAGGCACAAGTAATTTATTACACTGAACTAAGTATTTTTCACTGGTAATAAACAAGTCACTTGGTGATGGAAAAGATCTCCAGTATTAATGGATGTTTCACATATATAAATGTGATACGATGAAATTATCTTATGAATAAAAGAAAACTGGTTTGTAGAATTCTAAATGTAGCAGAATATTTTAGGGACTATCTGTGCTTTGTGTAGTAACCAAGGTCATAATATATATCTAGTTTTCAAGTAATGATCGATCAAGTTGAAATTTAGCCATTTGTCTTTACTGACTTATGTTGTGTGTACTGTGTTTTTGCGTATCGATTGCTTAGAGTTATCTGGCAAGTGTTGATTTGTAGGGCTGGCCTTTTTCTCATTGTTTGGATTGGTCAGCAAGACGTATGTGTAATTTTAAGGGAACTGATGTCGACTAGAAGCTTAAAAATAAGGATAATATGTGTAAGGAATCAGAAGCGCTTTTGATCAAAGTTGAGAAGGAATGATAAAAAGTAAGTCTCACGATCCTTCATATACTGACCATATGAATATTCTACTAACGAAAACTGGCGAGTGAATAGCGACAGGTTCATAAAGTGGAAAGGTAGTGCTATAGTTAGGCTTGTAGAGGCAAATTTCCTCTATATCTGACTCCGATTGCTAGTATCCCGTTAACTGAATATTTAGTGAAGGTAAATCTCCTAGTAGAATTATGGATTTACTCGAGATTATTCAAAAGCCTGAACACCAGTTATCGAGATAGTTTACTGTTAAAGATTGGTACACGGCGAGACTCTAATTTATGGAAGACCTCTGAACCAATCTGAAGTGACTTTGGGAAATATTTTCCAATCAGCAAACAGTTAGTATAGAGTAAAAATATGTTATACAAAACCAAGGAAATAAAGTGGATACATTTCAAAACTTATCAAGGTTGGAAAGTGGTTCTAAAATCGTAATGCATGCAGTAGAGGAAATCGTCCATATGGCTACAGAACAGTCGGCCTCTTGAGCCATGATAAAGTCTCGAAAACTCTTTCAGCCTCAACCACATATTGTTTATGTGCACCTCGGTTGTTGAGTGCACAAAATGCTACTTGTGGATAACGACACGATGAACATAACCAAGCCTATGTAGGAGTCTGTACGCTCTCCAAACATCCGGATATATTGTAGTACCTGGCTGCAGACAGTGTTACTGGTGCTTTTATTATCCAGTTCGCAATAATTGTCGTAATTCGCCGTAGTGAGGAATTATATATGGGGTTTTCATCACTAACTGACATCAGCTATAATGCCAGAAATTCATTTAGCCAAATGGAAGACAGGCTTTCGCGTTAACATCCTAGATCTATTATCTTATACCTGATTGATTCGTCCACAAATTATAGTCCCGCCGTTTTATTTGTTATAGCCGCTCAATTATCATGTTTTGTACAAAATTCCCTGTGAACCGACCGTACGTTAGCACAAAGCACTAAAGTTTGCGCCGTCACCTTGAAATCTCTAACAGGCATCTGATTGGCTCGTCTGTGAATTAGAGTCTCGCCACATACATATTTACTCAAATAAACTTAGTTTCCTACCTTCCGTCCTTCCTCCTAAGTAGTCGAGATCATATACAAAAGTGTGTCAGCCTCAAACGGTGTGACAGTAGGCTTCACAACATGCACTAACTGCTTAAAAAGATATATGATACGAATAGGCTAAACAAACGGGTTTTCTAAGCTGTCCAGTCGCTGGTCATTTTGGATGTAATGGTATCATTTCAAGAGAAACTGTGAGAAAATGACTTCAAATGTTGTTATACGTTGCTGAAACTAAATTTATTCATTCGATAAGATACTGTACAGTTGTCGATATTACTTTGGTCCGGTTACCTCAGTTTTTAATACGCATGCTTTCAGTTATATTAACCTCTTTCCCCGTGTTTCATTATTATCTGACCTCCATTTATCCAAACAGTCTATTTTCATTGTAGTTCATATTCCTCAATATAAACCTGTTCCCATGACATTCTGTTTTTTTCTTTAAAATTCATATAACTAATCTGTCAATACTCAACCATATAAACTACTTCATGTTCTCTGATATAAACTATATACAAGTAACCGCTAAGCTACTAGTATTTGACCACAGATGCCTTAGACATATTGCTCACATCTGCTGGGATCACCGGGTAAATATCTTTCTTTCTACGAACAAATTCTTTCTTCCCGTACTATGTCATTATACGCACTCTTCCTCTTATATATTACCACTATTAACATTACCACTACTATGAATCCGGTGTTCATCTTGCTGTGCTAATGTGATATGGCAACCTGGAACGATGCATATATGTGTATGGTCCTACGTTGTAGCTCACTGACTGACTAAACCCCTAATATATTTTGAAAACTATCGTTTCTAGGTTATAAGCAAAATTATTCTCAGCGAATGAAATCAAAATAATTTCAATGTTTCATCCAGAAAACGTATCTGAACTTCTTCAGTGTAATACAATCAAAAATTATCACAGAAAATTGTTTTCTCTATAATCGCAGCCTAATTTCTGGCAAACCATTCGTTCAAATATCAACGGATATTTGTATAAATTGTCTAGATCCTTAATACAACTGGATACGTCTATCTCCATTCAATAGCCAATTGATCTTCCTATTTCTTTTTATCTGACATATTTAAATCAACAAAACGAATAATTTCTGTTCTATGATTTAATTATAATTCGCCACCCGTAAATAATATCTACAAAATGTTCAAGTTTTACAAGTAGAGACCCGTTTTTAAACGGAGCCACAAGAAACGTGAGAACAAGTAAAAACTGATAATTATAATTTATTATTATTATAGTAAAGAGATAAGATCTGTACAAACGAAATCAAATCATTGTGTATTTCTGAAGAAAGATATGAGGATGATGATGAAGAAGATTTAGATGGTGATGTTGATTAAGAAGATGATGATGGTGGTGATTTAAATGGTGATGATGTTTTTGATGATGGTGATGATGACTTAGATGGTGATGATGAATTAAATGGTGATGATGATGATGATTATGATGATGATGATGGTGATGATGATTTAGATGATCGTGATGATGAATATGATGATGACGATTTAGATGGTGATGATGATGATGATGATGATGATGATGATGATGATTTAGATGTTTGAGATGATGATGATGATCCATGCTACAACACCTAAGTAAGGAAATTCATTTATAAGATGAGAGAGAGAATGAAATGGAAATAATATCAACTAAGACATACAGCTGATCATGGAAAAATATACTTACCGTGAAACAAATTTATACATTCGTCTACGGATGATAACAAGTGTAGCTACACATTTGTAGATGGGGATTATACTTGAAAAGGTCAACTATACAAGTGAATTGATGCGTTTACATTTACACAGGATGATGAAATACATTGAAGCCGAAGATAACTATTTCTCAGTGAGCCTTAGAAGATATGCATCTCAACTCTAAAGCTTTTCAGTAACTGATCTTTAGAAACAAATCACGGTCTGAATTAAAACCTTTCCCATTACTTACTCGATAGCCACCAGTCCCCGAAACGTTGAAACCATGAGCTTCGTTGACATATGATTCATTTGACTGTTTGTTAGTTTTGGCAGCTTGGAATTCTCTTAGCTATTAAAAAAGATGTATAGGAAAGAATGTGATGTATGGCGAAAAATCACTTCATAATATTAGTATATGTGTAGTTCATCTACCACGTAAAACTGAGAAGATGATGTCAAGTTGAAATTGTAATTGTTCGAGGTTCACAATTAAAAACTATGTCTCGGAAAGCAGATGCATCATGCATGTGTGAGCAGTGGAAGCTTGATAATAGTTCTCAAGAAATCTAAACACGATGATGTATCAATTCCACGAAACCCCCGTTGGCATATTTACGTTATACAAATCTTATATCTGATATGAAATAAACCGAAAATACCCGTCACGTTCAATTAGCAGAATTTATGCTTTCCGCCCACGTTAACTTTGAAATTTAATACAATGTCATATATTAGAGTGAGAAAAGTCTGTGTCTAAACCACTTTTATTTTAAGCAAGAAAACAAAACACAGTATGGCTTTGTTAGTACTATAAATAGAAAGCACTGTTCAGAGAAACGTGAGTTTCCGCTATGCACGACATGAGACCACCAGAAACAACGAATTACAAAGCTAGTTTAATTCCATTTAAATGATAGTAAGGCTTAGTGACACAACTGCAATTTATTCCGACGTTTTGAACAGATGTGTCGAGAGATGAGAGTTAAAGACTTAATTTCTGGCACCAGGTTTTTGAAACTACCACATAGAACGTGAAGTGCACTGTATAACAGTGGATCATATTGTAGAACGTCCTTCGTAATTGGGAAATGTGTAAAGTTGTTAGTGTTTGACCATAGAC